AGAACGCGAAAACATTCCCACTCGCTAGGATTTCTCCAACCGCATCACACTCTAGCGGACAATGCGCTGTCGGCGCCGCATACGGCTGGCGGGCGGCGCCATCCGACACGTACCGGTCACGGCCTCGGTGACGTCATCAGCGGTTTGGCCCGTCGCGCCAATCGATTCCGTCGAGTCGGCACCTCAGGAAGACAGTTCAGAATAAGCTGCACAGTACGGTGCGCTGCGACTGCTGCACATTCTGGCATTGTCGTAATGTGAAGACATGCCTCCTCGAAGAAAACTCGAACAACCACAATACAAAGTAGAATCGCTTGATGCCTGAGTAAAGACTGCGGGTAAAGACAACAAGCTTTGAAGTGCCAAGCGGTCTGTGTAGGAATGAATTATGAAAGAACTGGTGGTCGAGCATCGGCCATCCAGTGTCTTCGCCATTGTTTTTCAACGTTTGTCAAGCCCGACCATACATGAGCGCCCGGTGTATACGCAGTTGCAAATGTAGCGCGCTGTCTGGTTCACTGGCGCCTCGGAGCATGAGAGGCGCCCCACGTGCTGTCCGAGCACACGCGTCTAAGCCTGTGGCCGGCTGTCGCCCTGCACTGTGCGCCAGAGATAGAGTGGGAGGGACGGGCTGTGCCCCTGGTGCTCGCGTCTGTAGATACCTTCCTTCTTGCCGACTCCCGGCTGTGTGGACACCTCGTAGAAGGTGGGCTCTGCTGATTCGGCGGCGCCATCAGCTTCGTCTGGGGGCAAGAGGTTTTCTTTATCCGCGAAAAATGCCGACCGCAAAACAAACGTCATACGCACGAGACATGACAAGCAGCGACTCGCGCGCCTGCGAACGCTCGCGCCGCTTCGCTGGGCAACAGATTAACTCGTGCCAACAATGCCCCCAGCCACGGCTGCTCTACCGGCGGCTGAGAAGCCGATGCTGCCCGAAACCGGGCACAACTTCGGGTTGCAATTTATTCACGGAGCATTTCTTCCCGCACAAAGCTTCGTATAAGATGATGGTGGTAAAACACGCCTGGTGCTGTGTACGCTAACTTTCGTATCGCAAACCCTCGCACGATAATTTTGACGCACACATATTTGTATCGGTGCAATTTCATGTTCGGAAATCTTCGTAATCGGCAAACTTTGCATACACAAGTTTTCGCACCGCTTTTTGAACGTCGTTCTTCAAATGCTTTTTGTATCGGTAGGTGTGATTACTTGCACCGCATTTATTCGTACACGACTTTGTTCACATCGCATTCCTAGCATACGACGTCCTTATGAAATATGCCGCGTTGAGAGCAGAAACATTGCCAATTGATGAACGCTTTCTTTTTGGACAAAGTTCAGTGCCCAGGAGCGTCGCGATGATGCGTTGCTTCGGCGCGACTCTTCTCTCCAGGAGAACGTTCGTGAGTCGTGCGTGCTGCACACATGCCAACATGGCTTCTTTGCTTCTTGCATTAGTTAGTGTGGCAACCTCATCTGAGGAAGTCGCTCCAGATTCGATGACGGATTTTGTGAAGATCCCAATCGGCTTAAAAGAAATTTCCCACATTTATATGGGGTTTTGAACCGAAATAGCCATCATGAAGACCTTTCAGTGCTGGTCACAATCCTGCGCTTCTTAAGTCTTGCAGCCCTTGTAGTGTATGAGCTAAACGCCCGCGAAAATGGAGAAGGGTATATCGGGTAGTGCTTCAAGGTCGCCTTGGCATTTGCAACATCATGATAACGTCATTCAAATCCTGTCATTACCGAAGCCATTCAAGGTCTAAAAAATATGATTCCCGAGGAGTTCATATCTGGCATTCGTGGGCGCAATTTCCAGATAAAACAGCTGTCAACTGCCTCTCCGTGTTGTGCGAGGTGCGACGACGTATTCAAACCATGGCGTATTTAGGAGAAAATTGACTAAACAGGGAATTGTGTTGTTTAGAGCAGTATTTTCCACCTAAAAGGTATGCCAATAGTTATGTAATGATACATCATCAATATATCAATACTTAAGATAATTATGACCGAGTTGCTTCATCATGTTTCATGATTGCTTCAATATCATCAGTTGTAAAACATTCCCTTTAAGTCATCGATGGAACAACAATTTAGACATCCTGGAGCGCTGATATCTACTATTCAGAATATCTCAAACAATTTAGCACAAAGCTGGGACATTGACCACACAAAAGCAACCCCAAAACACTACTCGAACCAAAGCCGTTGTATTGCATGGCGCGTTTGGGCCGCGTGTCATCCGCTAGTGTGCCATGGAAGCTGAATGCACCACAGGTGGTCCCCATGTCCTGCTGTGAGCCATTAGCAGATAGGATGCGGTCCAGGCGACGGTAGACGCCCCATTTCCCGGCCTGCGGATTCGGAATCAGTCTACGCTGCGTAAGCAAAATCCCAGCGAAAGAGGAAAGAGAGTGCGTGCTGAAATGTGCTATGTGTATTAATGTTAAGTCTTACAGCTATTAAAAATAGAGTAATCAAGATGGAGCACATTTTTACCCTTTAAAACCTCCTAAGTTGAAAACCAGACAGAGAGAGAGAGGGAGAGAGAGAGAGAGAGAGAGAGAGAGAGAGAGAGAGAGAGAGAGAGAGAGAGAGAGAGAGAGAGAGAGAGAGAGAGAGAGAGAGAGAGAGAGAGAGAGTGAGAGAGAGAGAGAGAGAGGGGAGAGGGAGAGATAGGGAGAGAGAGAGAGAGAGGGGGGGGGGGGGGCAGAGATTGCGCTCCAAGGTTTTATCCTAGGGCCCTGTGCACGAATGCGAAGCGCCCAATAATCAGGCAAGGAGCCCCTCTCTATCCATCTGGTTTACCTGGAGTCCAGTGCTGCTGGAACCCGACGATGCTACTTGAGGCTGCGCTGCGAGGTTTTATCTTAAAACCTTGTATGTGAATGTAGAGCGCCTAATAATAGGCGCTTTAGGAAACCTTTAGTTTGTAAGGAAAGCTTTCCACCACGCGGAAGGCAGTACATGGAAAGAAAATAACCATAATATCATAGGGAAGACATTTTTATGAACCATGGGCTGATGGCATGACATGACATGACGGTACCTGGAGCCTGACTCGTGTGTTCTCCTTCCTCTGAATCCTCTCCATCCGGCGATTCATACTCGTACTCATGGTTTTCTGCATAGTCCCAGTAGTCTTCCCCCACCAAGTCGTAATCATCTTCCGTTCTGAGGACAGACGTTTACGCTGTTAGCGGCACAGCCCTTAACAGCAGCACGTGTCGGCCCGCACGTGAAGGTGGAGAATTAGCCTCCGAGGCTGGCAGAGCCATACAGAAGGCAGAGAGGAGTCGCACGGATCCGTAGCGCTCGTTGGCAAGTGCAGGCCTCGGACGTAGGGTAAAGCAGGAAACTGGAATGATCATAGGGTGCGCGCTTATTTGTTGCTCGGTGCTCTAAGTCACATGGCAACATCAGGAGGCTGCACCTTAGTCAACATTTGTACTTCTCCAAACGTTCTGCGATCCCACAAAGGCGGGTCAGGTAGCGAGCCAATGTCGGAGCTGGGTTATCTCAGGAAGTTCTTGACGTTGATTGAGTCACATTTCCCCGATCTGCGGTATCGCCTTACGCGTCCACAGTTGTCAATCCATTGTCGAACAATGGAGCCAGCGATGCCAAGGTCACTCAACGCCCTGACACCAACCCAAGCACGCAAACGAGATGCTTCTGAACTCGTCTACTGCGCGATGTCTCAGATTGTGATTCCCAACATGGATTTCGTATCAGCCACGGGCGTCAAGCTCCACGAGCATCGGCTCACCCTAGCGCCGGATGTCTTCGTCGCACACTTTTTGTTACGAAGGACTTGACAGGGATTCTGCGTAAGAACTCGCAGAAAATTTAGCCATCTAGCGAACTGCGACATCATGTAATGGCTCTGCTTTGCTTATATTACAAGTGGAATGATATATTCACACTCAACACTCCTGGCTGGGTGTCAGGGCTGGCAACAAACCTGCCACACCATCGGGAATTTCTCGAGTCTGGGACGATGAGGACTAACGTAGCTCCACCGAGCTCGTTTGCCGTCTGGAACGGCATTGGCCTAGTCTTGAGCGTCGGATGGAAGGGCAATGGCCTAGTCTTGAGCGTTGGATGGGAAATCGTGCCCGGGTATTACCCTAGGGTTTCTCCCATGCGGTGGGCTTAAAATTAACGGCACCGGACGCGCCGAAAATAGTTTTAAAACGCACGGCAAGGGTATGACATCTGCATGTCATCCATCCGATGTTTTTCCTGCAAGTTATTCGTTTGCGTTACACCGACAAACATAAAAGTAAGTTGGTAACATCAAGGTCCCAACAAGGCCTTGGTCTCACCAGAATCTTACCCAGGGCAGGAGCGCGTCCCGGGTTTAGCGGTGGACGAAAGCAGCGCGCTTCAACACACAATGGTAGCGTTGCCTTAGCGATGGTTGTCGACACCGTTGGTGGAATTTCTGAACGTCATCCATACTTATTTCCACACAAAACTTTTGGAATCAACAAAAGACAAGAGCATTGCAACACGAAAGCTGAGCATGTCTTGGTGTCAAGTTTTTGCTTAGAAAAATAAGTTTGGGGATGTCTTGATAGCGTTCGACACTCAACTGTATTATACAATTTGTCAAATGGCCTACAAAGCTTGTTGCAAAAGTAACCGTTTGGCGCCATGCTGGTACGTGGCTGCCCGGATGCAAAAAATGAGCGCCCTATTGCGTGTTTTTATGTACATTGACACTGTTCAGGCACCACTGATCTATCAATAACCCATAACTCTCACAGTCTCCAGAGACTTTGCATCCCACTAATGGGAGGCTTTGCTTTGCTTGGCTAACTTTGCATCCCATCGATACAGCGCAACGAGGCCTCAAAAGCCTATTCTTATGTTTTTTTGCACGGGTTTGTTTCGGCGTTTCCACGGTTCAGGTCATTGCGCTGGGAATGCCAGATGCGGTATAGGCCACCCCGCCCGCAGAGTGCGTGCCGGCATCGCTCTGCCCGATGCAGGAGCGGTGCCCGATGCAGGAGCGGTGCCCGATGCAGGAGCGATGCCGCTCAGCGCTGGCCGGCGGCCGTTGCCCGGCATGTGGCACTGCTGTCACGTCCCGCTGTGGGAGACCGTCGGTGGTAACATTCTGTCTCCTTCGGGCGGCTTGCTGCCGACGGGCGACCATCGACTGGCACAGAAGCGCCCTCAGAAACAAAGAAGCGCAGGAGCGCCCTCGCTGCACGTCGCCCATTGCAGGAGCGGTGCCGTTTGGCGCGGTGGGCGGCCGTCGCCCGGCAAACGGCCGTTATGTCAAGCTGGCATTGTGAACGCAACTTTGCCACGATGGTAAACTTACCTCCGTAGGGCCCGATTCGACGTAACGTGGTCGTTGCAAGCACGATGCGCGGTTAGTTGGATCAACACGCGCTTGCCAGATCACTATCGGGGATTAGCCACTGTTTACGTGGCAAACAAACATCACTGTTTATGTGGCGTTTGTGAGTGGGATAATTTTGCCCCGCACAAGCGTGAAGTGGGGAACTAGTTGTTATACCTTGTCTTTACGAACGCGCCATTAAATGGGTTCATAAAAGCAATTGCGAGAATTGCTAGGATGAAACTTCTCGTCTCGTAGACGCGGGTCTTGCTTAATGTTTGTGAGGGTCCTGCATCCCCTTTGTTGAGTTACTTCAATGTTGGCTTGGCTGCCTCAATACTTTTGACTCAAATATGACGAAGGTGTAGTCGGAAGTTGGCTATCACACAACACACCTTCCTCGTTCCTTCCACGTAGTCACCTTTCCATGGGAGCGGGGGGGGAGGTGCGGAGAGCCACCTTGACCCCCGAGACCCAAAAGTTGTTTCCTCAAATAACTTCCACGCCTGTGAACTTCAGAATATCAGGGTAAATCACTCGATAATTGAATATTTGTTTTGCCACTAAACGCAACCCCATACGTTTCCTCTCACTCAAACGCGATATCGACGCCACTGATTCACCAGTCTTGTGGAGACTCTCTCATGACAAGTCACATTTTGCTGCTACCCGTGGTGGGCTGCAAACCAAACATTGCTTTCCTTCAGACGTGAACTTCTTTGCTGGCATGCCTCACGGGAAAACAAAATCGGGTAGCCTTTTTCCGCACAGGGGGGAGGGGGGCGTCGTTGGTTCAGCTTTCAGGTCCAGTTAAGGCACAAATTGAGAAACAATATAGAAGCGAAAATTTTGCTGGGACCGGTTTTGGATAGCACTCTGTGCTTAACAGCACTTATTGCAGCACTAGCACTTTGAGCCCACACCCAATGATTGTACTGCAAGTTCAGCGGAACCATTTTGTCTCGGGTCCATATCCAAATAGCACCCAAATACCTTATCGTTCCACACCCAGCAAAGGCGACTTCCGGCCACCAAGCACCCGGCCGACGCCATCAAGCCGGGGGCCAAATGGCTCTATCTGACCTGCCATATTCGAACATGGCAAGCGAACACACCACCACACATTTCGCCACATCACAAGTGTGGTCAGCATAACTACAGCGTTAGGTTTTAGCAGCGCCGGTTGACGTGTCTGCACGGCAATGCACGTTATCTTTGCGAGTATTTTAGGTATTGCAGTCAACCTGTTGGCAGAACGGTGACGTTCCCAAGCTGCCACTTTTCCAACTATTTTGGCGAAAAGATATCACTTGTGACCTAGAAAGAAGTCCGCACATTTGAAGGAGTATTCCACGTTTGTATGGGGTTTTGAGTTCATTTAGCTATCTTGAAGATCATCCAATGGACTTCACGACCCTGCCCGTCTTACATTCAATGCACTTGGTAACCCTACCCATCTTAAGACCTAGAAGCTTAAGTTTCTAAACTACATACCCCCAAAGATGTGCAGATTATTTCATAGAGACGATTTCTAGCTCACCCAGGCATCCGTGGCGTCATAATAACGCCATTCACAGTCTGCCATTCCATTAGCCACGTGGCGATCAAGGCCAAGAAAAATAAAATTGAATCGTTCAAATATGGCGTTCGTGAGCACGATTTTCAGATATAACGGCCGTTAATTGGCTCTCAAGCAATGCTGAACAGGGTACAATGACGCAATCAAGTAATGACGTCATGAAGAGCATATTAACTAGATAAAAAGTTATGTTGTCTTAAGCAGTCTTTTCATTAAAAATTATACTTATAGCTATACGTAAAGTCATTTCATTTGACGCTTGCTTCGAATATGTTCAGATGTGGAACGTTCTCTCTAAAGGAAAGCAACATCCCAACGCCACGCACCATCACAAAAGCATCTCAACGCCAGCCGTGTCTGCTCCCCGCCCCCCCCCCCCCCCTCTTCCTCTACTCGGCCACGCGGTGTTGCCAAAAGCCGTTGCCACACAACTGGCGACCAACGGCCGGTGACCGACGTGGCCAGCCAAGGCCCACCAGCCAGCCGAACGTGCGAAGAATCAATTGTGGTGGCACACCAAGTCGCTGTCGCTCGTGGGAAACCGTAGCGATGCAACAACAAAAAGCGCCCGAGTAAATCCTGTAAATCCTGTAAGTCGCCAGGATCGGCTGAGACTATCAGTGTTGTTGAGTAGGGTTACGCCTTACAGGATATTGTAACGGCGGAGTTAGATTCTTTGCACTTTGTGCATGGTCGAATGCTATCGGGTACGGCTGATTTTTTTGCTCTTTTGCGTGCTGGTATGATATCTGCTTATTAACGTTTTTATTTCATGCCGGCAGTACCGTCCGAATGGCATCCATCAACGAATCTACATCAGTCGGCTTTCTCATGTCACAGTTAATGTGTAATAAAACTGAACACCATTGTGATCAGAATTGAACAAGAAACACGCCTTTTAGATTAAGTGTGTTGCATTTTTCGGGAAAATATAACCATTGACCTGCCATAATGGGATGAACTACTTACTAAGCAACACGCTAAGTACTGCTAATCGCGGAATCTCGTTGATCCCAGACTGCTGCTGTTGTGTTTTTTGTTGTTTTTTGCTACGCTACCTTTCTTAGTTAGGAAACGTTAGGATGGTCGCATCCACCTTATCAGTAAAAAAAAACCTGAAATCAGAGCGAGGGTCAAGCTATTAAATTGTCAGTCCTGCTTTGGTCATAACTCGTGCCATTACCCTAATCCCTGTATCATGCAGATCAAAATGTAATTTGTGTTTGAAAGTTGGACTCCATGTATCAAAATGGCCGACCGCTGATGCCCCGAGTCTTGTTCTCGTTCGCCAGACATGAACAATGCGATGATCATACTATATATTGGCCTTGAGCACCGCATTGCCAATGGGATGGCAAGATTTGGTTGACGTTTGCATAGCGTCATGAATGTCGGAGTGACTTTAAAACTGTCTGCACTTTATAGTCTGCACAGGTACGCGGGCGTTCAGGCCCAAAACAAAAGGGTTTTGAACCTTAAGAAAGGTGTAATGCGAGGCTTACATTTTGACTACCACCTCGTGTGCATCTATTTTTGTTTATATCATTCCTATTGCATCCTCCCTTGTTTTCTCCCCCACCCCCTCCCCTTCCGGTTACGGTTCCTGCTCTGCAAGTCAACTGGGACGCTGCCTGGAGCAGGTACAAAGCGATGGTTCGGCGGGCCGCGCAGGACGTGCGCGCGCACAGGTCGCGACCCTGTCGACAACACCGGATCGCCGGCGAAACTGCGTCCAACGACCACATGCGAAAAAGGATGTCCGGGACAGGAACCGGGGAGCGGGGTATCCGGTGGAGATGCGGGCCATGCTGCTCGCGTTCGCGCTGCACCGGGGTCCAAGGACCGCCGCAGGACGGCCAAGAAGGGTCCATGCAGAGCAGAGCAGCAGAGTAGAGCAGAGCAAGCTAACACGATCTAACAACCTAACACTAACTGCCCCACGGGCAGGCTCAAAGTCCGAGCCCGAGCCCGAGCCAACCAGTACGGAGTGGCCACCATGGCAAAAAACAAAACCCCAGGGCCAGATATCACCGAGCGGCACGCCGACAATCGCTAACCGAGGCCCCTGAGCCAAGAAAGAGCGCATGCAAAACGGACCTGAACGTGAGCACGAATGGAAACGCACGTAACTGATGACGGAAGCCTGAGAGAAGGGGCTGGTGAAACAAAACCCGCGGAAGCGTCACATTCAAGAGAACCGCTCACGAGGACAAGCACTGACTCAGCGGGGGGCGGGATGCAGGCTCGGGCGCCCTCAGTGGACGGGGAGGCCTGTGCTCGACCACTGCAACCACCAAAATGTGAACGGAGAATCTGGGACAGTCAGCTGAGGCGTTGCAGTCTACCCTCCGTTTTCGTCTCTCTTCGCTCATGACTCGTCACCTCCCCCTCCCTCTGTCGCCTGTTGCCTCAGTCAGGGCTCGAATTGGGTGCGAAAGTTCTGTTGTGTAATTGCCAGTTTAAGGGAAACTAACCAGACAGGATGGGGTTGCCACGGGCCGGGTGAGGACAAGTACGCGCGTCGGGATCATGCGTCGGGGTCACGCGTCAGGCAGGTGACATTATAGGTAAGGTTGGGTCATTAGGTCAGAGGACAATCGCGGAGTGAAAAAGAAAAAAAACAGGACACGCACCCCGTTGTAACGCTACAAGAGCATAGCTGTGAACCTCACTAAATGATTTTCAAAATGGCTATCTCAGTTCAAACCAAACATAAATGTGGAGAACTGCGCGCTCGGGTGGAGATCAATTTACCCCCCCCCCCCCCTCTCCCAAACGTTTATCCAGCGCAACTTTCAAACGGTGAAGCATAGCCACGCCAAACATTGTGTAGCTGTAGTCAATTAAATAGCCTATATATTGGTATTAGGAAATTAGGTGTACTTTGTAAGACCACTGATCTATGGCAGGTCAAAGTCAGGCCATCGCAAAAAGCGAAGGCAATTCATAAGGGATTGTTTCTCGGATGCAGCCACGGAATGTTGGGCTAGGCCATTCATTTTTTATGTGGATTATGTCACAACCAGATTATCGATCTTTGCATTGCGACTTTTTCTATCGCCCTTTAGTTGGGTATAAAGGTCAGGTCGAGGTAAAAACCGAGGTGTATTTTTTTCCTTGAGACCCTCCTTTTCTGCGTTGCTTCTGGCGCTCATTTCTAATTTATTGAACTCTCGTAGGTCAAAGAATGCGTTAAGACAGTATTTATAGCCTTATTCCTCGGAAAAACCAGCAGATGGAGACATAGATTGGTTGAGATTTCGACAACATGCCTTTATAGAGGCAATAGCAGAAGATAATTCAAAATTGTTTGCCGATGATCCTACTCGATCTTTCTTTTTTTGTAAACAGCAAGTCACAGTTTTTACAGGACACCAACATTTAGGGGATTAAGCAAAGAGCGATTGCCGAAATATCGACCGATCTATTTCTCCATTATATTACTTTTCTCTGAGTAACAAGGCTATTACTACTGCCTTATCTAAAGAATGCGTTGTTTTAAGCTCAGCGGTCAGAGGGGGTCGTTGACGCGGAATGACCCTGATCAGCCTTTTATTTCCTCGAACATGCCGCATGACGTAGTCCTTAAAACTTCCTGAAATAAAAAATCAGCACAATCTAGCAGGTTTTTGTCACCGTGGCCTGCCCAAGGTCAAATGAGGTCACTGATGTAAATCGAACACTACTGACCTTTGCTTGGCAGAGGTTTCCAGGTTAAAGGTGTTTTCACACGGAGGTCTGAGAAAACTTCAGACACCTATCTGTAGTTTGACTTTGTCAGACCTTATTTGACCCAAAGGTCATGACCTCGACCTCGAAATTTGACACAAGTGAGTTGACATGCAAGCCTGTACATCGTATAAATTTGGTGCTTCTAACTTTCTAAGCATTGAATTTCTACGGGGATCACATTACACCCCACGCCAGAGCGGTTTCGTATTTAACCGGCCACCAGGAGTGTTAATGGATGGCTGTCGACAGCTCGCCATCAGAACAATGGAACTCATACGCGTTGTCAAGGCAACTGGCGGCATGTTACGCTTGTACGCATACGCATCGACAGTTCGCCACCAGAACAATGGAACCCATACACGTTGTCAAGGCAGCTGGCGGCATGTTACGCGTGTACGCATGTTACGCATGCGCAGGATCGACCAGATTCACTGCTTTTCAGAAATGTCACTAATTCAGAATAAGCACTCAGTGCTGTCAGGCAAGTTTTGTTGGAAGGCGGGGGCATTGTCTTAGCGCGGTAGCTTTTGACATCTACTCTCGGATATTAGGTACCAGCAGAGGTCAGAAGTGGATGATGACTTACGAGTAAAAGCCGTTGAATTCGTCTTGATATGCCGCACAATCAACTGAAAAGAAAAAAAGTTGTCAAAATATAGCTGAAAAGGTAGTACATTACATAGACCATATGCACGGGATGTGTCATATATAAACGAACCACACACATACACAAACACACCATGCCCGCACGAGTACCCGCCCTCCCGCCCGCACACACACGCGTACACACGACCGCACGTTCACCCGCACACACACAAGTACACACGCTCGCACACCCGCCCGCACACACACACGTACACACGCCCGCACGCCCACCCGCACATACACACGCCCACACGCACGCACACACGCAGATGTATATATATATATATATATATATATATATATATATATTTCTCAATCTCGGCTTACCGTCCCATGGCACTGCTATGACATGATTGAGGGAACGATGACTTATTACGTGTTCCGCAAAAACTGCAGTCCCAACGTTTTCTTCTTACTGTGATCTTAATTCCCTGTGCTGAAGAGATCAGTTAAACGTGTCCCTATAACTTTTGCCGCACATAACATACGAGACCGCAAACACTTAATACACATTAAAAATTATCATGCGGCGAATTAAGCACGAAATCCAGGCTTGGTCCTATACCCTGCCTCCCCGAGATCCATGAGTGTACTGTACCGATCGGGATGGCCAAGGTCTTAAGCGTAAGCTGTTGGCTTACAACTCATCTCGTTTTTATGACCGGGTACAGAGTAGAATAAATCTGATGTTTTCCGTCGTTGAAGTCTTTGTAAGCTACGTCGCCGATCCTTTGGGCTTATCTCTGTTCGGCGCTCGGTGTCAGCTGTGCAGGCCCGCACCTTGGCGCCCCTGCACAGGGTTTGTACGAGGTGCTGATTTGCCCTTTTTAAGCAAGCGTAGCCGGTGACATATGGTCTGCAGATACTCGCGCTATGTCCGAATTATTTCTTTTATTTCAAAAAGTTGGGGCGCCTTGTTGGATACATTCTGAGCTATGAAATAAGTGGGAGCGACCTCACACTAGAAGGAAACCCAACACGGCGTTTCCTGTGCTTAAAGCTGTGCGCCAGTCTCTTTTAAGTTTGAATGTTAAGTGGCCTATAAAGTCCCTTCTTTTCTTATTTAAATTGTTCAGTGCGTTAGAGAGGAATATTATTGACATAAATAAGACAGCAGTATTAGCCTTATTCGTTGGAGAAAAGCCAGGAGAATGGAAATATGGCTGGGTTAATATTTCGGCAGCATGTCTTTACCGAAACAATAGCAGAAGTGTCTATTATATTGTCTTTTGCTATTGTTTCGATAGATATCACAAAATATATCTACAAATATGCATATATCTTATATAGTGTTAACTAGGCTGACTGGCAGCGCGGGGTGAATGGTTTTCGCCGTATATATATATATATATATATATATATATATATATACATATATATATATATATATATATATATATATATGCAATGTATAAGTGTTGTATATCTGTCCTATAAGTCTTATGCTATTGTTTCGATAAAAGCACGTTGTCGAAATATCAACCCGACTATACTTCCATATATAGATATAGATATAGATATATATATATATATATATATAGAGAGAGAGAGAGAGAGAGAGAGAGAGAGAGAGGAGAGAGAGGAGAGAGAGAGAGAGAGAGAGAGAGAGAGAGAGAGGGAGAGGGAGAGGGAGAGAGAGAAAGAAAGAGAGAGAGAGAGAGAGAGGAGAGAGAGAGAGAGAGAGAGAGAGAGAGAGAGAGAGAGAGAGAGAGAGGAGAAGAGAGATATATATATATATATATATACATATATATGCATATATATATATATATATATATATATATATATATATATATACATGGTTGATATGTATTTCGGCAGAGCCACAACGGGTGGAGGCGCGAATCCAATTCAAAACGTCGATCAACGCACTATTTGTGTCGCATGAGGCCAGAAAAGCTTGTGCGAAGCACGGTGGCGCCAGTAATCGTCGCAAAGACGGGAATGCGGGCGTTTAAAAAACGGTGCTGAATACAATACGCTGTCGCCAAAACTGTTACCATCATAGTATCGAAATTACACTATCACATACACCGATTCCTTGCACATGTTTGCCACCTGTTTGTTCGGTATTCTGTGCACCGTCCCGCCCAAAGGTCAGCAAGACCCCAACGGTTTGCAATTCCACATTTTTGTGCAGTCAGAATGCCACCGGTTGATTGCTTCGTTTCCGGCGGCGAGTATTTTAACTGAGTGACGAAACCAAATCGCACGCGCCGTGTGACGCCAGCGTCCGGCAGCTGCCATTCTTTTTTTATTCATTCATTCGTTGCGGCGAAAAGGTGAACTACAGAGACAATCAAATGCTCTGTTATGTTGTCATGTTGCGATGAATGCAATGCAATGAATGTTGCGATTACCGAATGATTTTCGTTAGGGTGTAAAGAATGCTAGCCAGGGCTTGGATCGGCCAGGAAATCCTATGAATGATGTTGGATGCGTCTAGTAACAACGCAAACGCAAATCTTCCATAGCGCATAACACATCTTCACATGCGTCTTCACGGAGTCAGCTCCGTCGTTCAGGGAGCAGGCTTGCATGCACCCCTTAATCATATTTTTGTATCCATGGAAAATAAATGAATGGTTACGGGGGCTTAACCGCCCACCCTGGATCTCGAGAACCACTCGACCGATTTAATCTCAGAAAACGACATCCGGTTGCGTGCGGTACGGGCTGCATTTCCGGAAGCAATTTTTTTTACTCGGGTGGATGCAAAAAGCAAAAGAGGGAAGACCAACACCTTAGTTCTGATATTTCGGGACGTTTTTTGACCGACGTTTTACATTTTGTCCTATTCGTTCCTTTTAGTTTATTGTAATACTTGATTATTCATGTGTTCATTTGATTTATTGCATCATAGTATGCACATTACGATACCATTATCTATCATCCGCCAGATGATGGATTCGTATTTCATAGTCTGTGCCATGGATTTCGTCCAAACCAAATAAATGGCGCGCCTAGGCGTTCCAGGAAGGGTTTTGGGAAAAATAAATTAGGAAAAGATGAGTTTTTGAGCTTTTCCAGTTTGTTTTCGTTATTCTGGTTTCAGATAGTTAGTGCGGACACGAAGTAACTGCAGCTTTTGCATTTATGTCGTAGTGTGTTGAAGGACGCGGGGGCGTTGGGTCACCTTCTTGAACGCTGGAAGTGGCCTTTTGCGAAGTGGATTGCTGGACAGTAACATGTTGCGGGCGCCCTATTCACCAAGAAACCAGTGTAGTCTGACCCTCTACTTTGACTAATTTCTAAAGATGTTCCTGTCATTACATTTTGCTCGTCTGTCATTACAGCTCTGCCGTAATAATATCGCCGCAACGCCTGAGTCTGGTACAAGCACACTGGGGAGGGTCGTTGGTCTTACGGCGTTGCGAAGTTATCTCCCTCTCAATGTCCGCAATTTCCCGGTATTTTTCCAAGGTCTTCATTTTGTCTACGCTGAGTATGTTAAAGTTGCATATTGTGATAGCTGGAAACGTGGGCTCGGTTTCCTCTAGCACCTGGAACGCAGAGGCATGCCATCAGAGAAGCATATTTCCTCACAATAATCTTAATTCAGCGTAGGCTCCACACGGCTGCGAAGTGAATCTTATCCGTACGTGATTAATAAATCCTACTTTAAGGTCATTTAGGCTGAGTTCACCCAGCCGCAGCCATGCATCGTAAGTGACACTGTTGCGTGGGTTACTACGTGCAGTGGGTAACTGAGACGAATGTTGAGCAGCCATCAAACTGCGACAAAGTGGTCATCAGCCGTGATGTTTGAAAAGCTCCTCCCCTAGTGAAGCCCCTGCTGAAGCATGCAACTTGAAACGTTCCGTCCAACGCGTCGCCGCGTGAGCTATGCGTTTAGACTGGCCAACTGACCGCCATGAATAGCCAACGCTTCGCGACGAGCCGGGCCGATGAGCAGCATCTTCCAACACATACCGCATTCGTCAACAGTTCACGTTCGCGTTTGGTTCGGCGTCCGGTTCGCAGCGCGGGCAGACACCCACCTCGATGGTGACCTTCTTGGGGTAGCCGAGGAACTCGGTGAGGGTGCCGTGCACCTGGTAGCCGAGCCCGCCAAGAGCGAGCAGCACCATCAGCATCCAGCCCAGCTTGCGACAGAGGCCGTCGTGGCGCACAATGTGCGGCACGCCGTGCGCGGAGCACCGGTCCAGGAAGAAGCGTCGCGTCAGCCAGTAGGACGTGGCGTGCCGCTGCTCTGGCGTCGGGTCATTGACGGGGCCCTCGCCCAGGTCCTGCACGCGCCTGCCGACACCGGCCGCGAGTGAGGCCAGGTCGGCGCTGGCGCACAATCGCGGGATGCGCTGTTGTTGCGTAGTCGTGCATGGATCCAACTAGCTTAGGTGCCAACCAGCTTACCCTCGGTGAAACCCGGTGAAATCCCTTGCAAGCATGCAAACCATTTGGACTGCATTTATAAAGGGATAACAAGTATCGTCATGAATGGAGGCAAATAAACCCGGTATTTCAATTTGTATCGTCACCTTGTCTTTCCGCGGGGCCTCTCAGCCAAGCTGCCTTAGTTTCTCAGTAGTTTCGACTGTCCCGCTACCTGTTTAACCGACGTGTGCGCTTTATGATCTTGTTAGAGGTCTAAAGGCAACCTTTCCCGCACGCGCCACGCGCACACCCTGTACCGCAACCGCCCGCAGATTGATTCTGGAAAGCCGGCTCGTCCGCCCATGCCTGCGCAAAACTACGCCCCGTGTCGCCGATCGCTTAACCTGCCGACGTATCAAAAGAAGGAGACGACAGGCAAGTACCTAACGCAAATGATAAATGGAAAAGGGTGACACATTGGCCTTTGGCTGACGACCGGCCTAAAGAGAGAAGTGAATAAGTGACGCGGGAGGCAAAAAGACTAACAAATAGAACAGCGGGAAGTAAATAGAATAGGAAATATAGTATCTATCATTGCTAGACAGATAGATATAATAATTTCATCGATGCACTGGGGTGTCTCTACTCTTGAAAACAAAGCAAATGTTTAGCGCAGAATTAAGGTATCTGAAGCCCCTCGAGAGTAGCTGCACAGATGGCACACCATTTCCTCCAAAGACAGCTGTTGGGCTCCCTTTGCGTATATATATATATATATATATATATATATATATATATATATATGCATATGGCCAACCCATTATACTATCGGACGCGCAAGAAGTTGGAAGGGGTCACTAAGTCTCAACAACCTAGCTATGTTGGCACATGGAAACTGTAGCTGTCCTTGATCGGGCCTGTAACTAAACTCAACCATTACAAGCTCAGCAGGAGGCGAACCGGCAGATAACTCACTGGATGTACTGCGCGAAGGCGTGAAGCTTCTCCCTCTTGTTGTGGGTGGAGAGCCACTTTTGCGCCCATTCGGGCTCCTCCTGCTCCTCTCCTTGGTCCTCGATGTTTCCCATTTCGGGGTCGTTCTTGGCCGTCGGCTGGGCGGGCTGAGCGGCCGGCGGCGACCCTTCAGCCGGCGTCGGCGCCGGGTGGACCTTCGCCGAGCTGCGCCCAGTCATGGTGCCGGGCCGCGACGTCAGCCGCGGCGCTCCCACCGCCGCCGACGGCGCCCGCGGCCCGGCCGGCTGCGTCCTCTCGCCGGCCGGTGGCGGGTCGGCGGGCTCCGTCCCTTCGCCGGGCGGTGGCGGATCGGCCGGGTCCGAAGCCGCCTCCTCCGGCTCCGCGGCCGCCTCGTCCGCCGCCTGCTCCTGATCCTGTGCCGCCTGGCGCTCCTGCTCGCGCTTCCGCTTCTCCTCCTCGAACGACTCCTGCTGCATGGCGGCCAGCTCGGCGTCGAAGTCGAACTCGTCGTCCGACATGGTGGCGGCGCTCTGCCCAAGGGTCGGCCCGGTCAGGCGCGACGCGGCGCGTCACACGCAGAAGGCCGCTCTCACAGAGATCGGACAGGCCAGGGATCAGACTACCGCAGGGCGCTGGGCCGTCAGTACCGCGAGCAGGAGGCAGAGCAGAAACGGGCCGAACACGATCCACCGTGACATGGTAACGTCAACATGGTCACACGCGTCAAACATAACATGTTGCGTCCAGTTCGGTCTCCTGCCGCGCAGCGACGTCAAGAACCATCCACTGCGTATTACCTGGGGGGGAGGGGGGGGGGGCGAACGGCGAGCGCGGCGCCTCTCCCGGGAGCGCGAGCTGACGGGCGCGGGAGCCGGCGCGGAGGTGTTGTCGCCGGCAGCAGGCCACAGGCACTCCGGCCCCCCACACACATCACCGACGCCTCCGGTTGTCGTGACGACCATTAAACATGGCTGGGAAGCCTGCGCCTGCTCAATCGCTGCCTGCTGGATTCTCATCGCAGTTATACGCCAATTATTAATGGGGACTCGCGTCAGTAGCTGACCCTGGCTCGTATATGTTGCCCGGGGAGGCTAGCCATGGAGCTCGACTGAGTGGCTCTTCATTGTGTGTCATGGTAGGCAAAGGTCGTACATGGTCTCTGCTAGGGTGCATTGGTCCTGGATCATTTAGAGGTGCCAAGGAATCGCCATATTTCCACTTACATAATTTTATTTTACATTCACCCCTATGACGTTCAGTCATTTATCGTCTGAGCCTGTTACTGACTCCAAAAATCCCTGGAGGGGAAAACCGACACGTCCACTTTTCTAGTTCAGGCTCTGTACTATGTAATAACTATTATCCGTGGGAGACAGGATCTACACATAGTAGTTCAAAATATTCGGGAACGTTGGGTGTTTGGTGGTTAACAAGTGTGGCTAAATGCAGTTGTGATGGTGCATAACATTTTGACGGTGCATAACATGTCATTGTAGGTGTGTCCACTGCCCATACAATTTAATCCAAAAGTCCTCAATTTACAACAGCTCCGATGATTTGCTGGTGTTGTTAAACCGCCTGCTTTCTGTATGCGTCATTGATTTTGTCCACCACATGTGTAAATACAACCTGCCATAACTCCCATGACTCTGTGTTAGTTAGGTACGTGAATGCATGTAAATAGATACATGGACGGCTTATTCGCATGTGTTCCGGTTGACTGATTTACTATAGCGCTCATCTATATTATGAATGGAAATTACTCGTGAGATTGAGCACATAAGTTACAGCATATTGAGCATGGGAGTGGATCCTGAGTGAATTCTTGCCACGCATTTCCAAATTCATGACGTTATTCTTCCCAGTAATCATGGAATTGCGGGTGTGTCCCACCGACACAAAACCACGATTAATGCTAGAATGTTGATCATAGTTTTATGGTAGCATTTTATGCTGACGTTAGACAAACTAAAAAAAAACAATAACAAAAGTTTTTCCGTCATACGCTTCTTTCAGCGCATTTTTTGTTTGTTTTGCCACTTTGGTCCGACCATCTCTGTCGGAGACAAGACGGCCGTGGGAGGAAACAGTTGGTATAGTGTGCCAGTAGGGTTAATTAATTACCCTTTTTGGCCATGGTGCATAGAAACTTCACGAGGAAAAGCTTAGCATTACCAACATAAGGCTATGCAGTTGTTTCATTTTCAAGCAAGCCGCGCTGAGGTCACCTTGATTAATGACAGAAAGCCAATGCTGAGGGCCTTTTTTATTCACCGCTCATCTCATGCAGAGGTGAGTTTCTCGACACACAGAACTGTGGAGATTTGCATTAAACGCCATAAAGTCATCGTACTGAAAGGGAATGTTCCACATTTGAACATGTTAAAGCCAGCGTCAGATATGGTGCAATAAACTCACATTGGTGTACTCTTAAGTAGGACAGACTGGTCTAGACACCAAAATTTCGCTATTGAGCAAAAATGTTCCTCAGTGTGCCATCGCTTGATTGCATCATGGAACGCTTGCATGATGTTGAGACACTGCCAAAGTAGCCGTACAAAATTGTCATTTACCTGTAGTACTTCAAACTCGTCGAGCAATATCAGCACGGAGTGGAAGTGTTTGCTGAGTCAAATATCGTTACGTGCTCGTGTTTTGGCTCTTTCTCTTGGTGTTCAGGCTTATTCATCCATGATTTTCAGATGATTACTTATAATCACATACTGGGCTATCGCGTTGTTCAAGTTATTATATTATAAGTTTTATTTCCTTAATAAATAGCAAGTGAAGAGAACGTGTCCAATTTCTTATATTACGCAGCACAAAACATGCTTCGTGAGGCTTGCACGCCTTACTTAACATTGTTTAAGAGCCAAATGATGTCCCTTATATTTGGAAGTCGCGCCCACGGACGCCAGATCTGAACAGCTGGACGATTATATTCTTCCTTGCCGTGATCTGGCCTGCAGAGTCGCAGAACTTAAACGACGTTCCTATGGCGTCGTGCATGTCTGAATGACCTTGAAATAGTCTACATGAAATAGTCCGTACCTCTTTGCGGCCGTGTAGCTCGGAAATAAGAGAGTTTTAGGTCCTAAGAAGGACAGGTCTGTGAACTGCACCAAAAAAATCTTCGAAATGGCTGTCTCAGCTCAAAACCCCGTAGAATGCGGAACGCTTCCCTAAACATGGGCCCGGGTGGGGGTCAATTTCACCCCCTGAGATCTCAAAGATTACGAGACAAAAAACACTCAATTGGCGGGGCTGATTGATGATTGATTGTGAAGTCTCTTGTTTCAAAATTTGAGGTTTCTAGGTCGTGATCTCCGTGTCAAATGGGGTAAAAGCCCATATTGGTGTTCAAAATGCCTCTCGAGCTCTAATGCTCGAATGCCTTGAACCTAGGCTCCTGTTTCAAGCAAAATTACACTGGTGTTCTTTCCAAGCCACTGACCTTGTTTGGAAGGTCGTGGTGACCACATACTGACAAAATTGCTTTTATATCTTAATTTGAATAAGCGTGAGGGATTACGCTAGACGGCAAATTCCCATCAACAAAGCGTTCATCTGTGTCGTTTCAGGTCAGTGACCCATTTTAACTTTTACGTGGGTCATGGAAGATGTCTGTTGCAGTTCCTGTTATCAATAAATTCCAAATGAGCATCGGAAGGTTCCCCATAAAGCAAGCTCTCCACTAAAAAAGGACGCTGGTTTTTACATCGGTCAGACCTTCATACCTCACCCAAGGTGATTGGAATTCGTGGTAATGCATGAATTGTTATCATAATCTTACTATTCAAGAAACTTTCTCAGATGTATGCCTTCGTCTAACACTCCGTTGTTGTATCAGATCGAACGATTGTCTAAAAGTTTCCAACGCCACTCCGTTCGAAAAGCATGCTGAAAAAGATGTGGGGGGGGGGGGAGGGTGAAGTTGACCCCACCCAATTGCGAGTTAATACAAACACATTAACGTTCCATGTTGAAAAAGACTTGGCAGGTATGCCAGGTTAATAAGGGCATTCTTTTACCACTGGTCAATCCGTAGCTTAATAGGAGCTTAACAGCCCGTAACCGTTGCAAGAGAGTTAAGTAATCAATAATCAACGTCTGTACTTTAGGGAAAAGTGGGGCCAGTTGCATCATGTCCAAGTAGTACCAGGACAGTTTATTCCAAATCTGTGCGACGGATGCCAGCCTTGAACCCCTGATCTGACTGACAGCAGCTCCCCTGCCTTTCAGTGTGCCTGCGGCGGCATGCGTACACGCGTCTTGGGACGAGTGCGACGATTTGTTCTGCATAGCATTGAAAACGATGACTGTCGGTGTAATTGTATTTGAGGACTTACAGCATAATTCGGCCAATATGAATGCTACATTGGGTGGTGGAGAGGTGTTTCTATCGGATATACTGCAAAACGTCTGGTGTTCTTTTCCAAAGATTTCGGGGCGCCGTGAACGTTCTTCCAAGATGCCCGGCAGTACATGTTGCATAAGTTATGCATAAGAGATGTTGTTCAGTGACACGATGCACCAAAAATACGTGGTGGACAGACTTATTAGCAATGATTAAAGGACTTAATTGCAATGACTTATTGTCATCCAGAAAACGGGTCAACAGTTGCATTGCTTATGCATGCCGGTCGTTCCTAGAGGAGTAACCGGAGCGAAAGTGAGCATTGTGCAACAATGATTGATAAAAGGGCAAAAATGTGTTATGTCGCAATCACGACAACTTGCGAAATTACACACGGGAAGCACATTTGATCTCCAAATCGTAACGTATTCAGCTTGCTTGCGACGCAATTTTCTCCATGATAAAAATAACGTAAGCTTAAGATTCCCATCAAGCATTGCGCTCTTTTTCCCTCCTTCTTCTTTCACTCTTTTTGATTCCCATCAAGCACTCATATAATTTATCCAAGGGTGAGGCAAGTCATCTCGTTTGAAAGGAGGCCATTTACAACACGACTGTTTTACTGTTTTAAAAAACCAAAACGTGCTCTGCAAAACTTTACTGCCACATACGAGGCTCCAGGAATTAGCTGTCTGGAGACATAAGAATCCTAGCCGTATCCTTAATAGTTATAGCAGGAGGAAGTATAAAGTGGAAACTTATACACCTTTCCCTACTCTCCCCTATGTCTGTTACATTGTTCCTCGACGTTGTGACTGATCAGAAAGTCTGCCATTTAATGCAATCATACATACTTCTAAGTATAAACATCACATTTTCCACAAACAGTTGTGTCGAATATACACAGAGCGTATTTCTCTGACGTGAATCAAACTGTTAATGGTGACGACACCTAGGTTACCTTGAATTCTGCCAGACTGTTCGGTCGCCATGGTAGAATATGAACTTTATTGTTGGTTGCTTTGACATATTATAACTTTGCAACTAAAAGGCGTCGAAGTGTATCAGGACAAAATCGAGGAACGTATCCTGATATGAGCTACTAAATATGTGCAGATTCGTCCATTCTCATGGGGCTAGTTTCATAGCACGTCCGTCCCTGTTCGGACCCGCCTACCTAGCAAAAGGTGACCGGGCATCACAACCCTTCATCAAGGCCCATAACAGAATGCAGACTGCAGAGTACGGTCGGCTGCAGTATAGAGGCAAGGCATTTCCACACTGATTCCCTGTTTATACAAGACTGTCATAGTTTTCTATCTACGAGAACGTGCGTCTATTTGTATGTCTGTCTGTCGTTTTTTGCTTGTTGATCCGTGTGCAGGTCAGACGGAATGCAGAAAAAGACGGAAATGTTCACAGTGTGCGTGTGCGAGCGTGGGAAGTGTGCATGCGTGGGGAGTGTGCATGCGTGCCGAAGGCTCTACGATAATTGATGATCGCCTTGGGCTGCTGGGAATGTCCGCTCAGGCCCATAGGGCTACCATTAGTCATACACCTGGGAGAGACAAACTGAGGGGCGGTCAGGCCGTCGAACAGATATTCACTTTGCTGCGCGAGCAACGATGAATCTTGGGATCCACATTGATAGGAAGACCTTGATTCATGTAAATAGCACCTTCGTATGAAATGTAAGGTCGTAGACCGAGGATGGTAGGGACTGGGGACTGGATGTGTTGGTGACTTCTCCAGCAATACCTGGCGCTATCGGAGATGTCGCGGCACTGAGTGTTTGACAAACTATGACTTGTGGATAAGGCAATACTAAAAGCCTTATTCCTCGAAGAATAACCAAAAAATTAAGATAGATGAATTGATATTTTGGCTGCATGCCTTCCATGCAGCATGCCGTATGCTACAATCAGTAGTCACTACTGATAGTCATTTTCATAGACGTACGTAAAAGAGATATCAATCCATGTTTTTCTCCTTTCTCTGGTTATTCTTCGAGTAAAAAGTCTATTTAGCCATATATATATATATATATATATATATATATATATATATATATATATATATATATATACACACATATATATATACATATATATATATATATATATGCATGTATATACATATATATGTATATATATACATATATATATGTATATACATGCATATATATATATATATATATATATATATATATATATGTATATGTATATATATATATATACATATATATATATGGCTAAATACACACATGATGCTCCTTGTAAATGCACTTAATTTACGTCAACATTAATTGTAGTTCCGATGGAAGCTGTGCGGTGTTGTAGTATTGTGGCCATGATAATATGGTCAATAAATACAACGACGAGGGTAGAGGCAACACGACTGGGTTGAAATTCCCAGCATTCAAAAGCGGGCGCGGTGATAAACCACTGAGAAGCAAGCACAGACCGTCTTGTGAATTTTCCAAGGGTTGTGTGCCATCTTATGGAAGATCGGGCTGATTTTGTGAAATGTGCATTCAGATGTTACCAGTATGCACCGCATAACTTTGGAGGTGCTCCAAAAATATGTTGTGACCATCCAGCACGCGCCTTCAGCAAGTAGTGAGTGAACGCGTATATTTTTGCCGCGGCGGACTCGACGGCGAAGGCCTGATTTTAGCCCCATAGACTGCTAGAGGCAAGCATCCATCACTGTGCACAGAGCGGGGCTGTGTGGTGATAGAAACCCCGGTAGCACGTATTCCTCCTTACCAAACATACGGAATGAATTAGTATATGCGTGAATAAATGTTGACAGAAAAAAGCTCCAGGCGGGCGCGTAAAGATAAGATACAGAACACTACGGCACGGAAGACTTTTTGTACTCCTGCCGCGTGCTCGACTCAGTTTTCAGCGAGCATTTTTGAGTCGTGCCTCCCTGCCCGGGATGCGTAGAAATGAGACGTGTATTCGGGGCCATCGCAAAAAAATCTGAATGACATGACTGTGTTGGCTAAGGCCGCAATTACGTGGGTGTGCCAGGAAAGTTTACGGCAGTTGTTTGGGAACATGTGCCCCGCATTCAATAATGATAGTCAAAGATAGACTGGCACGGACGATGATAGGACCGTGATAGGTCACTCTGTAAAGAGGTTAGTTCGACAGCACATCACACAACAGCTGAAGGGCGTAAACACAGGGTGAAGAACAGGGTTAAGGTGAAGAACACATGAAAAGTTGCTCTTGTCCTCCCCCCCCCCCCCCCGCCAGGAAAATCCGCAGTGACGAGTACTGAGTGACTACCGCATGAGCGCTCAGGTACATACAAGATCCATAAAATCTTATACAAGCATAATGATGCTCCATAGAAAGAACCGAGGGACAAGTGGCGTTTGCCTCCAAAACTCCTGCGATGATGTATCGTTACTGACAGCAATTTGACACAAGGTCGAAAGATCCCAGGGCAATAGGACAGATCTCGCTTACAATTGGATGTCACCTGCGTGGTGACACGTTTGTCACGTTCGGGTCTGAACATTTTGCGTTGACCCACCAGCTTGATTTGCTGCATTTTTACGCAGCCTGTCTTGTCTTCCTTGTTTCTGGTCACAGCTGCTCACGAAATTGAACCAATCAGAATGGGGTGCAGCAGAACCGTCACAGACGTGAACAGCACCTGCTTGCAACATCTCACTTCTTTGCCACAACTTACGGAGACAAGGTGAAACTCTTTTCGCCTAGTTTTTGCCCACTCCAGCGGGAAACATGTTATAATTACGAAGCATCAATTAGATAAGACATTAGTAATAGCCTTATTCCTCGGAGAAAAACCATGAGAGTGGAGAAATAGGTTGGTTGATATTTCGGCAACCTACCTTTATCGAAACAATAGAAGTCTTAACTTCCGCTATTGTTTCGATAAAGGCATGTTGTCGAAATATCAACCAATCTATTCCTCCAATCTCCTGGTTTTTCTCCGAGGAATAAGGCTATTACTACTATCTTATCTATGTGAATACTGTTTCACGCGAATGCACTGGACAACTTACGTTATTTTGAAGCGTCAATTACGTAAATGCCAATCACAATCGCGTTTTACCGCCGCCAGTCCATGCAGCATTCATGTCTAAAATGGGATGTTTTGTTACAGCACGGTTTTTTGGGGGAGGCGGGCATGGAGTTGTTTCGTTCCCTCACTTAAAATACGGACTCTGAAGCATCCAGGACGCCCAGGAGCCGACAATGAGACCGACGCGGCGGCCACGGAGCTCTACAACAAATAAAGGGGGCACATGCAATGAAGGTATTTGGGAAACCTCAGAGGCCTCCTTTGCAGATCAGCTCTGAGAAGACTTCAGAAACGGCTGGGCGCAGATGGAAATAAAGAGGAAACGGACGAGGGCACCGAAAGTGTAAGCGGGCCCTAAACCGGTCAAATGCTTGTCGTGTGGCGCAACTACAGCAGAAGGCAAACATGCGCCAAGAAACCCACAATTTGAGACGCAACTACTGCTCACTCGCGGTGCTTACGCCCGCACAAGTTCACATTTGTCTCCAGTCCCCGTGTGCTGAGACGCACGCACGATGTGCTGAAGTCTGCGCTACTACTGCATCCGCATACGGAACCCCCGCTGGTGTCGGCGAACCACCTTCGCTCCCACATGAATGATGCATGATGAGTGCGGAGCACCCGTGATTGCCTTCACCACGCGCCGTTGCCTTACTAGGCGGACGGCTGAAGGGCCGATATATGATCGGTGTGTTTCACGTTCCATGTTGTATTGTATCAGCAGAAGGGCAGCACATACGCTCAAGAACAGGAAACAAGGAGCACAGCGTGCGGCTCCAGCGGCTCCATAAGCTGCACAAATCACAGTGCACGCGTGCGCCCTCCTCTTCACGCCAGTAATGGCGCCCGTCCGACAGATGGCAGGGCGCCCACGCGCCACGGCCGAGTGGTGGGCGGACGCCCCGGCGGGCGGGGCGGTGCGACGGCAGGCCATGCACGATGAGCGCCGGCTCCTCCCAGACCGGGCCGCTGACGCCGCACGTCCACGGTAAACACGCATCTACGCCACGCGCTTAGCGGTCGGCAGGAATGCAGCGAATCGTTTCGTAGCCAGCAGCGTGACGCCGACCGTCTCCGCATGTCCGGCCGGGCCGAGGAGCCCCAGCCGGGCCCCGCTGCGTGCCTTGTCGAAGGCCGCCATCTACGCCGACTTAGACGGCGCCTTGCTGAAGTGGTGACGAGCGAACGTTTCCGCCACGAGTAGTGGGAACACGAGAGACGCCTCGGCGTACACCTGAAACGGAACGGCTGCCAACAGTCCGCGGGGCACGAGGGACAGCGTCGCCCACAGCGCCGCGTCGTCACAAGCTTTACATGACGGTGCGTCAGGACCACCGGGCTTCACGACTCAACAGTGAGATCATTGCGTCTCCGAATGCGGAAAGGCTGCGTGATCTTCGAGTCGACTGCCACCAGGCAATACAAGCCGACTTTATTAACCGGCCGGGGGTTCTGAGACAACCGGGCTCGGATGGGGGGGGGGGCGGGGGAGGGGGAGAAAATGACCCCTGGGATCTCCATTTTGCGGACACCCTATGACAAAAATAACCTTTTGAAGGTATCGTCAAACCATGAGAAACGCACACAAAATTGTTTACCTTGGGTCAAATTTGAGGCCACCCGAGGTCACAAAAGGTCAAAAAGGTCGTTCCGATAGATGCAGTTAAAACCTATGTTAACACGTCAAGGCGAATTTTGAGGGCTTGGAAATAAACATTAAGACTGTGAGGAGTCAGTTCCGACCATTTCTGTTCCCCCCGCATGGATCAGATCAGTTCAGCGTTCAAAATTGTGCTACCAGTGGCCTACAAGAACGATGATTTTCTTCACTATGCGCCTCTGTCTAGGTCTATTCTTTTAAACGCAGCTGTGGACAGAGGTATTCTAGGCACAAAACTCCCATTTTCGGGTGAACTAGGGTCGTTTGAGGTCAATTTAACTTAAATTAAGTAACTTATAGACTATCCAAATGAAGAAATTCGAGGTGCCAACCGGCTCTATGTGACCAGTATGTTTTTTTTCTGTCATCTGCAATAGTGTGTTGTGCATCTTGCAGTACTCAATATCACATACCTGTTGTCTACACTAAATATAGCCCAATATAATATAAATAAGGCAAGCACAGCATCGATATATCTAGATAAACTGCATCCACAATACGGTGTGATCATGAGTTTTATCGTTTTATCATTTTCATGTCAAATTTACATCACCAGACTGCATACGCCAAAGGCGACTTCGACCATGCTCATCTAAAAATGGACTGAGGTGGAGACCACCAGCAAACGGTGCTGGCAGCAGCATCGAAATAAAGCTCGTATGCCAGTAAACGGTCATGCAGCTGATCACCGAAAGAGGCATCAGGAGCGGTGGTGACCGCCACTACGGACCGAGGTAACACATACCAGGCGGGTTTAGCTGGGGCATGCATACCTCACCCCAACCAAATCACCACCATGACCAGCATGTCAGGCCAAAGAACTGAAATGCACGTTGAACAGAGTAACCAATACATTGTGGGCCATCAACGCGCCCAGCGGTGCGCGGTCGTCTGACCTTGACAGGCCGGGCGTCCACGCGGATTTTGCCCCACGAGACGGCCTCGTCGGGCCTGGCGCCCGCGTCGCTGCCGTCAAACTCGCTGGCCGTGTTCACGAACACGGAGAAGTCGGCGCCGTTTCTCTGTCGGGAGCGGCGGCCGCGTGAGGTCACCGGGTCTCGGAAGCACAACACGCCACCCTCCAGGTCCCGGTACACATCGCGCCGCACGCAGGGCGCTGGGACAGTGGGGCAGCTTCAACCAAAGAGCGGCCTCACGATGTTTTAGATAAGCGTGCAAAAGATTCGCTGTGACTTATTTCACTGGTAACTTATTGAAACTTTTGTATTACCTTTTCCGTGTGTAACACTCGGCATCTTTAGTGTTCTATGCTTCACATTGTGGGGTTTGGGACATCATTTATTTCAACCAACATTTGGTGCACGTGTGGTTTTGACATTCGAGACCAAGGCTAAGCATAGCTTGTTGCGAGGTCCCTAATCCCATCCCCTCAGGAGAACAGAGAAATTGGAGCAGTTATTATCAGCAGACAGATATAGAAATGCAACGTAGCTCCACGACACGACAATGCCTTTCCAGCCCGAGCCCTTGATGGCCAGTTACCAGTCGACCGTTTGGAACAAACCAACTTATCGAGCGCTCTTTCTGGGATGTAAGCCCACAACGCCTGCCACCCTAGCGGTCACGTGTCCAGCGTTCTATACACTGGGTTGAGCGAACATGGCGGGGCACGGCTTCGCAATACATACAAAGCTCCACCTACGCATGACTCGTGGGTCGCAGATAAGCAAGGGCGGGGAAAACGAGATATATCACAGTATATCAGCACAGTATATCAGCACCGATGTCTCATCTTTTTAGTCACTATCCAAAGCACCGGTTCCCTCGGCGACTGCCGGCAGCCAGCCTACGGGCCACCGAGCCGTCAGCCGTGTGGCGACAGGCGCAGCGCTCCTCCTCACCATGAGGTTGGCGTTGCAGATGTGGTGTTTGACCAGACCGCCGCCGATGATGATCATGCCCGTGCTCTGGGCCTTCATCGCCATCGAGTTGAGACGACGCAGGTCTGTGGCGCCAGCGGCGAGACCGGTAAGAGCAGGGACGACTGGCGCCAGCGGCACGCCGAGCCCAATACCCGCCGATATCGTACACCGGCACACCGAGCCCGACGCACACCGGCAAGGTACACCGTTACAGTGAGCCCAACATGCACCGGCACGGTACACCAGCATGCCGAGCCCAACATGCACTGACAACGTACACCGACACGCTGAATCCAATACGCACCGGCGCGGTACGTCAGTACACCGAGCCCATCATGTACCGACATACCGAGCTCAATACCCACTGGTACGGTACACCGACACATTGAGCCCATCACCCACCAGCACGGTACACCGGCACAATGAGACCAACACCCTTCGGCACGGTACACCGGGACAATAAAACCAACACCCTTCGGCACGGTACACCGGCACACCGAGCCCAACACGCACCGGCGAGGTACACCGACGCACTGGACCCGACACCCACCGGCACAATGCACCGGCACACCGAGCCCAACACGTACCGACAAGGTACACCGACAGACCGACCCCAACACGCACCGATACGGTACACCGACACAACGAGCCCAACACGCACTAGCACGGTACACCAGCACACCGAGCCCAACACACATCAGCACACCGAGCCCAGCACACACCAGCACGGTACACCGGCACACCAAGCCCAACACGCACCGGCACGAAACACCGACCCGCGGCGCAGCACGACATCAGGACAGCACGCGACCCGCGGCTTTCTGAGAGCGCATCGCCACCGGACACATACGACTGTAATGCCCTTCATAATGCAGGCCTTCAATAGCGAGGTGGGCAGCTCGGCTGTCGCCGCCTCAGCACGATGGTGCCCTTGGAATTGGCTCCAGTCAATAGACATCGATCACACAAGAGGTCCGCTGGCCAGTCCCAGTCTAGTCCCCGAGCCCGGAGCTCCTGTCAATGTTGGTGCGGGCGCCCTCACAGCCGCGCACACGCAAACTTATAGCCAAGAGCTGAGGCCGTTCTCCCTCTACCTGTTCTTGTCGATCTCGCTTCCCTGGGGTGACACTGCCCATGACAATTCAGAAGGCGACTGGTGCCGCCGAATACGCATATTCTTCGACAAGTAACCGCATATGTAGCGTAAAGGGAGGCGGGCACTATGCGCGGGAATAACAGGATGGTGCTCAGCTTTGCCGCACGCTGATGCTGTCCATACCAGGATAATCACAATAGACTGATCGACTTTCTAGAACCATATTACAGACCGCAAAAGCCGCCGCACGTTGCGTCACAACACAGGTATAATGTCTTATCTTCGAAGCCCAATCGAGCACGACCATTAAGCAGGAGACCAAAAGTTTTGGCAAGAAAATCAAAGATATGCTGTAACTACGGTGTTCTGTTAAAAACTTCTGTTGTTCCTTAAACGCAACGCATAAAGAACCCCTGACGTGGTTTTTCAACACGCCAAACTTAGGTCGTCCTGATCCAACTCCGCTCGAGCGGGGGGAGGGAAGCGTCCGAGCTGCCACTCACCCGAGAGGATGTCGACCACGAGGCCGGGCCGCTTGTACGAGTGGAAGAACATCATGTCTCCGAGGCTGCCGTCGGTGAGGGCCGGACTGAACACGGGAATGCTGTTCTTGGCGGCCCAGTACAGCACGGAGCGGGTGTCGCCGATCTCCCGGCCCAGCCGCTCGATGATGCGCGACGGCGACCACAGCGTGCCCTGGCGGCCGGCCAGCGTCACCGGTCGGGAGCGGCCGCCCTCTCGCCCGCCGCCGGCCTCAGACACCGACAGCCTCCACGGTGGCCTGGTGAGACAGCCGGCACCGGGGCGCACGTGCCGACGAAGGCACCGGCGCACTAGCCTACTGTCGGCCCCGGCAGCACGCACGCGGCCGCAACACGCGCCGCGGACGCAACGAGGACATGCCGGCGTTTGGGTGCAACCAGCCCGTCTGTGGTGGTTGCAGACTAGGTAGTCTTTACCGTCATGACGGCTGCAGAAGGTCATACGGACGGACGAAAATACACAACGCAAGACCATGGCACACGGAAATAGACAACGTGACCACATGGTAGTGACATGTGTCAGAACGGCGGCAAGAAATCAACACACTCCAAAAAGCATCTGAGAAATATCCGCAATCCGACAGTGACAGTAAAAATCACGCTTTTAATGCAAAACAGACCCGCGTGAGGCTTGTAAGAGAGGGCATAGGGACAAGAGTACCTTTTCGCTTTGTTCTTCCAACAGTTTGTCCAGTATTGGTATGACCCACGTTTCAAATTTGCAGTAGTTGTCGTTGGGTACTAGGAGATTGCCTATCCTGAATAAGACAAAACGACTTCGTTTACACGTATTGGTGCTAACTGGCCACAATAGTAGCTTGGAACTCATCTACCGATACGTACATACCACATGTGCAGTGGCACGACATGGTATGTACAGTGGCACAGTCAATTTACGTCTCTTTATGCATACACAAGTCCAATCACAATGTATGGACGCGGTACAAAAGGAAAATGTAGGGCAAGCGAATATCAAAACATTAAAACATGCGACGGTGCACCGGAGCGTTTAAAATTGTCGTCATGAGGAGCAACACTCTTACTTCGTTGCCATAAGGTACCGCACAGTATCCGGAACTCATTGCGTAGGCACATCACTGCTAAGAAGAAGCCAAGTCACTCATTCACGTATAGCAGTCAAAGCCAAATCAGTACACTGTGAGAATGACCGCCGTTTCTACGTCGCGGGGGGGGGGGAGGGGGCGAGGGGCGTCGGTCAGCGCCGCAGCAACCGGCGCCACTCGCGCCTGGCCACGCACCGGTGCCGTCCGGCTCATCCCGCCCGAGGCCAGGCTGCCAGCCCTCACCGGTTTATGCCGCGCTTGCGGAGCCCCTCGCCTTTTAAGTCGAAGGCACCCACATAGGTATCTGCCAGGCACTTGATCAGGTCCTCCTCCACGCCGCCGGCCGTGGTCACCACACAGTCCACCTGTTAACACGGGCGCACGCGCGTTGTTGCGAAACGATCCACGTGAATGTGAGGCATGCACCGTCACGAAGACACAGCCACAACTGTGGTGCGATGCCGAGCACGCGCCATACACACATGCATCCCGCTTATCCGGAGACAGACACAGCGGTGTCAAACAAGGCGGACGGACGTCACCAAATCATCTGCACACGGGCGAGCACATCCGAAAATAGATAAAAGAGAAGAAATTACCAACGAATCGCTTCACGCTCAGCCCAGTTCGCCTGGCGCTCGTATTCTGAGTGTGTCGCTCTCCATGCGACGTGTTCGTGCACGTTGATGATTTTCAGCGTTGACTGTATACACTACAACGTACCCACGAGACGCGAGAGTGTAACCACCCTGCCTACGGACCGTAGCTGCACTGGGACCACCTCTTCCCGGCTGGGGCTCGGTCTCCGCCGCGCCACTGATCCCGTGTGGAGACAGGCCGGGCACCCACCATCCTGTGCTGCACCAGGAAGCGGATGGTATCGCGGACGCCGGACGAGGACATGTTGGACGTGAAGCCGAGGAAGAGCGTGCAGGCCGAGCGGCGCCGCGTGAACTCGTCGTCGCAGAGGCTGTCGTCCTCGGCGGCCGGCTGGTCACGAGCGGCCAGCTGTTGAAAACGGCGCGGGTAAGGTGCCACTCTGCGCAACGTGGTCCAGCTATGGATCTAGTACAACACGGACAGCAGCGGAACAATGCTGTTCCTGAGACTACGCACGTGATCATCTGATTGCCATAACGCTGCCGGAAGCCGACAGTGCAGGCTCCTTTTCACCAACGTGAGCGAGATGGTAAGCCCAAGACAAGGCCATTGCCACTTAGCACTTCACCTCCAGCCTCACGACTCCTTCAAAATCCTTTAATATTGCTTCCGTGTCGTCACGCTCCATTACAACAAACAAACAAGATCATCAATATATTCTAAGACGGGGAAAAACTGATGGCAAACAAAATGGTTCAGCTGCAATATTAAGTGGTGCGGCCGTTCAAACATTCATGAGATGACGCCCTCGAATGCCAAATTTGGAGCAGAACAGTCAACCTCCACATGGGGGCGGAGCTCAATTTCGAACAGGGGAGGACCCAGCGTCCTGCTTTGTTCACGTGCAAACAAGGCTCATGAGCATAAACAGCGTGCGGCCGGGGACCCGTCAGGAGCGATATATGTCGACAACAGACGACTCATGCTCGATTCCAAATGTCTGCCCAAATTCGGAATGAGACTCTGCAATCCAGTCAAGTACAAAGGCTGCCAAAGTAGGCTGTTTGCAGTATCGAAAATGGAAGCACTGACATGTGCATAAAGTACTTTCACCATGTGCTTACATCACTGCTGTCTTTGCTTTCCTCAGCTGGCCAGTCACTGGCTAGTAAAGACGTGAACGCCAGTACTCGAAGGACTTGGAGAGGGTTGTCCCACCTCCAGTCCCGCTGCTTAAAAGCTGTGATTATCTAACAAAACCACAATTATCATAACTTACATTACCAATGAATTAGCCACTACCACGTTCGTGACGCGTACCACAATACTCAAAGATAGGTGGAAGCAACATACCATCTTATTGATCTCATCGACTGCCAAGCCAAAGTTTGTGGCTTGAAACCCAGATGTAGCATAGGATCGCAGTAGCTTGTGGTAGTCGACACCCTCATTGAAGTCATATCCTGTGAACACAAAACAGACGCACATGGAAACTGTAAATCCAATCAAATTGCCGGGAACAATTTCCCCACGGGCTAGAAATACAACCAACATGCACTGGGCAGGTTCTGCTGGCCGTGACCCAGAGGCAAGAGGCACAGCAAATTGACGAGGACGGAAGGGTGTATGGACACATCCATAATGGTGTAATACATTGGCCAGTACACATATGCTTCATATTCTACCTTATTTCGGTTTCAACGTGAGCTCAAGCTTCATCCAAGCTTACATTATATATTGATTAACTGTCAAAAGTAACACGGGAAGAAAAAGAGCCGACTTATCCATCTCAAGAGATAGTGAAAATGACTACACACGGCCTTTCTTTGCAGCGACCGTACTGGCTGCCATAAACACACACCCTCTACCGTCACCGTGGCATCTGGGAGTGGTTCGCTGCGTACAAGAACGGCAGCAGCAGCAGCGGCGCATGGGACACCCTCGCTGGCTTCTGCGTCCGAATTCATGACCTCAGTGATCTGGACTCCTGGAAATGAATCAATGTAGTCACAACAATCAATGCATGTGCTGGGTCACTTTTCTACAAAACACTGCATGTTTGTATGGAACTGTGTTGTGCGAAAACATCATCAAACAAGATCCAAGCAGCATCATGGGCAGATGAACAAAATGAAAACTCAGAATTTCTATTTGGTTTGGGGTTCAAAGTTTGACAAATAACCATTCCTGACATATCCTTTGTCAACAAACAAGCTTGGATTGAATTGTTGCCTTGTTTCAACAGAAAGGTACCTGCCTGGCTGCCTCAAACAAGACCTTACTGGGTAAAATTTCATGACTGCAGAGGCAGGTATTTAACTACAGGAATTAAGCACAGGGATATAATGTGACAGCAGTTTAAAACATTTGGGATTTTTCTTTGCCAACCTTTTCAGCTTAGAATAATGCATACCAGCACAAATGGGATGGCACTAAGCATCTTCATCTTTTTAGCAAAAATAGACATCACAGCATAGCTTAACTTCCCAGGGAATTTTGCAAGGTGTACACTGCACTGTTGAGAAAATATTAATCTTACTACTTCATTCACTCCACATCTCAGCATCTCAGCATCATTTTAATGGGGACAGGGTAAGAATCTGCAGCTCAGCTCTATGCAATGTGGACAGAGTTAAATTTTTGTACAAGATCCACCACCAGTGTTTAGTACAATCCAATGTCTTTGTGAGTTTCCTTGTGCTCTTCTCCTTGATCAATCCTGTATAATGCCGAAGATTGTTTCTTTTTTTAGTGGCTACATCTTTCCTCATACGTTTTGTTTTCATCAAGCCCTGTTGAGCTTACTTGGAAAACAATACTTCCAGGAAAGCACTCTTTTATAGGGGTGTGCTTATTAGCAGTTGAATGAACTCTCTTCCATTTCTAAAAATATTGATTTGGCTGGAAACATTTCTGATTCATACCTATATTTTGATGACAAATGAATAATGTTCTTACCATTCATGTCATACAATATGTATTAATTTTTCAATGGCAATGGTTCAGGAGGAACACTTCATGATGTAGTATAATTTTCAATAATTTTTTAGTCTTGGGTACTGGTAATCAAAAGGCCTGATTACCTTGAACCACCAGGGTCATCTTGAAGTCTCTGACATACAGTACGCATTGGAATCTGAGGAATACCATAATTTTTAAAGTTATTATAATCACAAGATGATAAAATATCCCTATTCCCTGATCAATAGTATTTTATGCTCTACAAAAGACAATTGAGAAAACAATGATGGTGCATAACAAAGCAAATAATTCATCATGGTGATATTTCCTGTTACAAAGGATGTTTTCAGCTCGGAAGTGGATTAGATAAAATTAGTTGCTATAGTCAGGTAAAATCTGTATTTTGGCAAGAGCATCCAGGCATGTTTTTGTCTATATTTCAGTTGCAATGATGACTGGGAGGATTATTTCTTCAAGCACCCTGAAGGTGTAGGTATATTTCTTTAACACGAGGTAGCAATGTATACCCCGACCCTGAAGGTAGTATGAAAACCGTACAATATTGGTATCGGTAGCCAACACCCATTACTACTCACTTACACATCAAACATGGATTTCTAAACCTCTACACTACAAAATACCACGTTTTTGCTCACGCTCGCCATCAGCCCCGGCCGCCTAATGTTACGTCGGGTTCTTACTTGTTCCAAGATTCAAAAAATAGGTTTCCACGATGACATTTTCTAGGACCCTGATCCGAAAAGTCGTTCAACGCTATCGTTTCCAACAATCATCTCAATTCATCATCTGTTCACTTGTATACATAGACACATTTCCAACCTCTGCAATACTGCTCCACGCCGGGTGTCTGCTATCTCCTCACGCGTATTCATGTAGCGCGCAGGGCACGCAGCGCGTATTCATGTAGATATGAAAGTGCCATTCGTAGATAAAATCTACTGCGAAGCTTCCAAATGAGAGACCTTTCCCTTGCCGGGCCACAAGTACGTAATTTACGAGGAGGCTATCCAGTTTGCCTGAGCCCGGCTGCGAGTACTGGCGCTTCTGAGAGCGGCGCCTAGCTGCATGCTGTGCCATCGGCCAATCTCGGTTTGCTAATTGACAACAAGACGCTGCGCATCTCAATAGCGTTGAGGATTGGAGCCAATGTCTGTGGTCCACAACAATACGGACGCGGTGCTCCTTCAGACAGCAAAGGTTACCATACCTTGACACGCCGTCTCAGCGCTAGAAGAACTCCCAGACGCACGGCGTTGAACGATGTCGTCAGCCGCACCCTGCAGTCTGCGGGCATATTCGCCATTCTGGAACCAATCGGCTTGGGCCGCGGCGACGACAAACGGTCAGACAGGTTGACAATTTGCCCGTACTCCCGGGGGAAAAGCCTTATTTGTGGCACTGCGTCTACACGCACGCAGAATCCCGCGCATTATCGACGGTGATAGTTACTGGACCCGCTGTATGAGATGCCAAGTCTAGAAAAAGGCGCAGAGACTCAGATCTCGCAGGCAGATCTCAGTTCTAACCCGCCGCTTTTGAGACTGGGGCGACCGGGATCCGTCCACGAGGGCTTTCATCAGAGCGTTGGGGCGCGGATTGTCAAATCATCTGGAGACCAACTTGAGACTGTCTGGCTCTGCTACCGGCCATCAGTTGCTGCATCCGTGGCAATGCTGCCTCCGTGCTTGTCACAGCTCGTTCCCTTAATGCGCCTGTCAGCGCACTTCACTGGCCCGCACACAAATCCAAACAGGCTGTGGTGGGCTGGACTTGACAAACGGAGGCAGCCAACAACATCGTTAGCCCAATTGCTGGAACGCCTAAGTTGTCGCCGCCTGAGTGTGAGCCTCCCTTTATCTGACCGTCACCTTCTGCAGACCGGCATGACAGCCCGGTCAAGCCTGGTTCAGTGTGTTGCCTTCCGTGTCTTCAGGCCGAGCTGAACAATGCCACTGGGCAACTGGAGAACACGCCGAAGGAGTGGAAGGGAAGTGGCAAGCCGAGCGAGCACGTACTGAGCAGTGGAACTAAAAGCAGCTCTGCCCGGTCTCCTGCCCAGGCCCGGCAGTCCCCCTATCACGCTGCTCGGGGATCATTACCTTGAGTAAAGATGGCGGTAGGACGTGGCCTGCGACTCGGCTGATCGGCGACGACATTTTACGGGACGAGCACTCGAGAGAAATCAACACGGGCGCCTCCACCATCAAGAGTGCTCTCATCACAGTATTTGTCACACTCTTGCGAGACCAATGAAAGAGCCAAGTTGGGGCTGACCGGGCGCTGATCATCTCCCCATTAAAGGTACAGTGTCAGCGTTTTGCGGCGCAACGCATGGGTTATTAGGAGCAGGACGCACAAGAGTTCCTCAAATAGCTGTCGGAGGGCTTGCCGAGGACGCAAACCGTGTCGACAATCAGCCCAAGCCCAAACCCCTCCACATCGATGACAGCCTCAACACCAGCCAGAAACCGCTGGAGCCCGGGAAGAGTTTCCTGCTCCTGAAGAGCTCGAAGTTCGTCGACATGTTTCTCGGACTAGTTAAGTCCACGCTGCGGTGTACGGTGAGCGGCCACGCGTCTGTGACCTTCGATCCTTTCTGGGACCTACGCCTGCCGATCCCATCCATGACAGGTCAGGTGCGCTTGTAGGACTGCTTTAGCTTTTTTTCGAAGAAGAGGTGCTTGACGGAGAAGAAACTCCTACGTGTTCCATGTGCCAGAAGCGCCGAAAGTGCTGCAAATTTTACAGATTCAGAGGCTCCCACGCATCCCTGTAGCACATCTGAAGGCTCTGGCTGCAGCTGAATCAGAACGGGCACAAGCTCAATTCCACAGCATATCTCTCCGCCAGTGGACCGGTCACCATGCTCCACCGTATAGAGAGACTGTATGTATAAGCTGTACGGCGGGGCGCACTCGAGACACTACACGGCCCACTGAGAACACCCCCTTTGGGAGTCTGGCGCGAGTACAACGACTCTAGAGTCCAGGGACCCACATGCAACGCGTCAAGAGCTGCGAAGCAAAATATATATATATATATATGTATATATATATATATATATATATATATATATATTTATTTATTTATTTATTTATTTATTTATTTATTTAGCTGGCCAGTCACTGACCTGGTGCCGATCTGAACGCCAGTTCTCGAAGAAGTTCGAGTGGGCTGACCCGCATAGGACTACAACCACTTATGTACAACCATGTGAGCTCGACGATTGTAAAGCAACGGTGACTGGCGAGGCGAGAAATTGCACAAAGTCAAACTACAAGCATTTTTAAAGGTGTGACTTCGTTCAGATTACCACCGCCGGATCCCCTCAAAATAAGTGCTTGGTGTTTAACATACAAGGCGTTCTCTTTGGCCTTTCCCGTCAACACTGGTGGGGAACAGTGAATGTATTATAGACAAAATATCACCTAGTTACCCCTAAATAACTCATAAAGGACAAACAAGCAAAGATCATGGATGTAGCTGCACAAAACTAGTTGGGAGGAGGGCTGAACAGTAGAAGATAGCCTCAATTACCTCTAAATACGTCGACAAATTGGTTTCTCTACACATTTCTTCGTTCTCCTCCCAAGTTCGGAAGGGGAGGGGGGTCAGGTGCGCAACCGAAGGGGGGGGGGGGAGGGACGTAACAGCATTGCGTTCCCGCGGCTGCATGCTGCATCTCTTTCAAGATGCCTGGACTCATGCGGATAAGCGCAGTTCGAAATATTTAGTATTTTTATTATAACTGTCATTTAGGTCGCAAGGCCGCTTAACTATCATTTTCTTTCATATTAGAGATGATTAAGTCTACATAACAACGCTGAACGCATTATTTGAGTTGACGTTGTTTATCTTATGGCTTCCTGACTTGTTCCACCACTGTTCCGTTTGCTGATGTGTCGACAGCACCAGGGGCAACGCCGCGGGTTTTGAGAAGGGGAAAGATTTTCCAAGGCTCTTTCGGACAAAATAGTGCCTCCTTACAGGGAGGCATCCAACGCTGCGTCGTATTCTAGGGGAGGGGTCACTGGGAGCGTATGCCCCCGTGTCAAACTATTACATATATATATATATATATATATATATATATATATATATATATATATATACATATATATATATGTGTATATATATATACGTATCATGTCATATCGAAGTAAATCCATGTCGACAGCTAAAAAACATAATGGGGCCTCCTAATTATCCATCAAAAGACCTCGCTAACCAAAGGCAGGGCCTCATGCTCCAGAAAACGGTCTCCCGATGCATAGAGGAGCCTCCTAATCTAGTACATGATACTTGCGATTTACGAAGGAGGCGTCCAAATGTGGCCAAGAGGCCTTACGTTCCGAAAACAGGGCATCCTTATCAGCTCTGCTCTTCTTAAGACCTAAATATCTTTAGGTTCTGAGGAACATCTCCGCGAAGGTGGCAGACTATTTTGCGGAGGGAATTTCAAGGCCGCCTTGAGATGCATGACGTAGTAAGAGTATTATTTTGATCTTGCCTTTACATAAGCCATGCGACGATGAAGATGAGGAAATCAATAATGGTTGAGTCGTTGATATCTGGCGTTCGTGAACTCGACTTCCAGATATAACGGCCTTATATATATTTGGCTTTCAATCAATGTTGCGCAACGTGCGATGACGTAATCAAACAATGACATATCAAAGAGCGTATTTGCTAGGCAAAGAAATTGTATTGTCAAGAGCAGTCTCTTCCGCTTAAAAGTATACTGATAATTATAAGTGGGCTTGATTCATCACATCCGGTGCTTACTTTAATGCCTTCAATTGTAAAACATTCCCTCTAACGCAAAATTGAGTCTCCTGATCTAAAGCATTGCCTACTTCATTCCTAAATGTAAGAACCCGGAAAAAGAGCCTCTTGATGAAGCAGAGTCTTCTGAGCTTGATTCATTGCTCCTTGGCTCAGTCATGGTGCTTCCTTGATCCCAATCATGGTACTCTTTATATAACTGCAATGTCTTGAATTGCTAAAAAGGGGGCTTTGAAGAATGGGGAGCGAAAACATAAGCTTGGTCCCTGCGCCTGCAGTCAGGGGTGACAAGATATTCTGATCCCATCCCATCTGATCCCATCTGAGCCCTGTTG